CGAGGGAGAGAGGGAGAAAGAGACGGAGAGGGGGGAGAGGGAGGGGGCGAGAGGGAGAAAGAGACAGAGAGAGGGGGGAGATGGTGAGAGAGGGAGAGAAGGGGGAGAGGGAGGGGGCGAGAGGGAGAAAGAAACTGAGGGGAGAGAGAGAAAGAGACAGAGACGGTGGGGAGGGAGAGAGAGAAAGAGACAGAGGGGGGGAGGGGGGGAGAGGGTGGCTGTCATCAGTTTTAGCAAGAAGCCACAAGAGGCCGTGTTTTACATGACAACAGAATGTTTACGGGCCGTTATAGAACAGAAACTCAGCCACAAGTTCAATCCAAAAGGAGCTTCACCACAGTCCTGCAGCCTACAGGGCAGTGCACAGGAAACGGTAACCTACATTCTGAACTTTAAGCCAAACTGCTCCTGATTATTAAATTAAGAAGATTATAGGCTTATTGAAATGGGATTGTAATAGATATTTGGAAAAAATAAAGTTAGGCATTTTAGAAAAACTATGTGTTTAATGGGAGCAGGAAACTCTGTTCTGGAAACTCTGGGGGCCATAGCCTATAAGAAGCACAAAAGATGGTCAACCTGGCATAACCTGGCTAGACTGATTTGACCTTTTCTCCACATTTGCTGCTCAAAAGCCCTTTGTTATGTTTCTGACCTTGATTTATCTGGTTTCTTTTAACATTAAACAGTCATAAGATATCCAGCCCTAGACAAATATTCCACCTTTGAAGCCATGCTTGGCAAACTTTCTTTGCAACAAGCATAAACCTTTATGAATTAACAGTAGCTATGCTTGTATATTCACATTATATAGAAAGAAACTCAAACATTTTAAACATGAGCCTTTCGGATCTCATTTTGATTAAAGCGAATGGCCAACTTTTCAACAAAAGCATAAGTCACAAACTTTCAAAAGCTTTAAATGAATATCAGAGCTGGTAGAAACCAACACTTATGAAATGCAGCTAATTACATTTACTCAAGTACAAATACAACTTTGAGGTTATTTACTTGAGTATTTCCAATGTGTGTTAGTTTCTTAAACTCCACTACAACCAGAAGAAAATATACTACATCTGACTGCTATAAGTACTAGTCACGTGTCAGATCAAGAATTGATTATTAAAATCTTAGTTCATTTAAGTTGTATAAAGTTGCAGTAATGAATCAGTAGACTACTAAAATTCCAGTATTACCTATGAGTGGAATACTTTGTGTGCAGTATAATCAGTATTTTTCCTGTTGATGCGTAACTTTTTTCTGCCAATGAGATTTGGAATGCTTGACTTTTCCTAAGTGAGCGGTCTGAGGACTTGTTTCCCAAAGTAAAGGAGTGTGAGGAGCAGCAGGGCTCCTTTAACTCTGTGGCAGGAGGAGTCTGTGCTGCGGAAGCTCCTGTCACCTAAAAGAGGCGTTTCCTCACGTCAAATGCGATGTGATAAGTGAAAGGATTCCCGCTGACCCATAATCTGTTGCTGTGCGTGGACATCGATTATTGCAAGTAATGTCGGACTCCGTTAAAAACGTCGCAATATTTGGAGCCACGGGAATGACCGGGCTGGCGACTCTGCCTCAAGCGGTGGCTGCAGGTGAGGAACGGGAATGGAGAAGCTGTGTGGCTGCTTTTTGCTGGTCAAACTGAGACCCCAGGGACACACAGGGGTCCTTGGCGGTCCTAATGGCTTTCTGTAGTAACATGACATCTACGTTTTGTATCGAAATGGAGTTTGTGTGGACGTTTTCACCTTCCAGTTTATCTCCTATTAGCCGACAGTGCCACGGTCTTGGATCAAGTTATCTGTCCACCCATGAGGGTCAAAGATGGGGTTAAACTTGAGCTCGTTGCCTGTCATGTAAAGGTCAGATATTTCAGTCAGTACGTCTGTCACCTTAATAATAGCTTCACCCTACAATAATAGAAATGGTAAACAATAATATAAAAACCCAGTGTCAAGTTGTCCTCTGTGCTGGGGGTTTAGAGGTGGGCAGCAGGTCAGTATAATGGGATGAGAGGTGGCATCGGCCCCTTGTAAAATTAGGCTAAGTGAACAATTTCTAACACACAACATCCACAGTACTGCTCTTTGTTTCCTTCAAATTTCTTTCTGTGTAAATGTATTTTGAAAGCACAGTAGTCATCGTTACATCACCATGTATCCAGCAACTGCTTTTGAAGATTTTAGCAAATTAAATCAGATCAATTTTATCAATATATTTTGGAGGCACAACTTTTTCTTAGTCAGAATTACTGGTTAATGCTGTATTTATAATTTCACATTGGAATCAGATCCTGCTCCACTTTGGGCCTGAATTCCATAAAGACAGTCCAAACAAACAAACAAACTAATTAAAATGCTATAGACAGACCCACACACTCACACAGCTAACATACACAGGCACATTGTGTCATATGATCAATGTGATTTAGCAGCATTTTCATTTCCTTGCCTCATGCTCACCAAGAGGCAAAGTGCTGAGTCATGTTGGCCGTTACAGGTCAGCACTGTGCTGAGTCACAGCAGGCTGTGACACACAGAGCTGATAGCAGACGCTGTTCACTATCTCAACCGTGCAGGGAGGGTGGGATCACTGTCAGGTAGTTGGTCTAGTTATTACAGGAGCTTCTGCTAAACACTCTGTTATCCAGTTCCATTCAGAATGTATTGAACTGTGGTGTCAACAACACATGTAGCAGCTACTGCACAATAACCAATCAGGTGAAACTGTTGGTTATCAGTGGTTTACCAAAAGTAATCCCTGGTCCTTTATTGTAGTGGCTGGATGAAAGGACGTCTGGGGTTCTGACCACACATGGACAATAACTAAGTACATACAGTACAGTCAAGTACTGTACTTGGGTAAAGTTTTGAATACTTTGAGCATTTTCTGCTACTTCATACCTTAGTTACTTTTCAGAATCAGATGAATAAAACAACACAGTATAATCATGAGTCTTCATTGATCTTCAGTGGGAAATTCACAAGCCATCCAGCAGTGTGTAAAATACTACAGGTAGTTAACCTTAGCCAGCTGTAACACTGAAGTGATGGACACAATAATAGATCAGTAATTAGAATCCTTTAATATCATATACAATAATGTGGAATGTGCCATTCTGCATAATGAATACCTTTACTTTTGGTACTTCAAGTATATTTTAATGCCAGTACTTTTGTATTATTACTTAAGTAACATTTTGAAAGTTAGGACTTTTATTCATAACAGAGTATTTTTACACTGTGGTATTACTACTTTTACTTAAGTAAACAATGTGAGTAACCACTGGTTATGACTGTACTACTGTCACATATAAAACATCAGGTATTAAACTGTTACCTGTAGAAGTTATACACTTAACATCAAGTAAGGAGTCTTAAGTTAAAAGTGTAGTTCTTTGTATAGTATTGAAGTATTATAGGGGCAAACACAGTGTCACACTGTATAATCGTTGCCTTTGTAGAACTTTGCCAGGATCTAATAAAGCTTCAGCTTTTGGGGCAAGAATTTCAGAGCTGGTGGTGTTATGTTGCTGCTGTGTCTCTGTGAATCGGTTTGATTTTACCATGTTTTCTTCCTCCAGGATACAATGTGACGGTGCTGGTGCGGGACCCCGCCAAGCTGCCTGCTGACCACAAGGCATCCAGAGTGGTGGTGGGTGATGTCCTGAATAAAGAGGATGTGAAGAAGACGATGGAGGGTCAGGACGCTGTTATCATCATCCTGGGCACTAGGAACGACCTCAGTAAGGCACACAACAAAGATGCAGCCAAGCTAATGTTATAAGAGAAGATCACTGTCACTTGGTGTAATAGTGTGAAACGTTCACTAGGGGTCACCCTAAGGCTTTGACAACATGACGCTGCATCAGTGTGACACAATCAGTATATAAAAAGGTGGATGGCTACAGTATCACTGGACACTAAAGGGGCTGTGCATAGATTTTTCTAGGCCAGCACTTCCACAACTCAATAAATAGCCAGTGTAGTAACTGTAAATATATTAACTTACATACAAAACAACATCCAAGCAACATGGACACAAGATAGGTTTCACAAAAAGTAAAACTATTAGGATGTTATCAAAAGTAGCACTCCTGCAATAGATATGTACTTGATTGATAGTAACTGTACTGCATTCAAAGTAATGCTTTCTTTCAATTTTACTGAAAGAGACTCATAAGGTGTCTGTTGTCTCAAATGGTGTCAATGTGGTTGGTCTTCTAAATATTCCATTTACTAACAATGGACACATTAAACCATTTTAATCATAATGTTTTCATGTGTGTGTTTTAGCTCTCTGAAATACAGTGGAGCAAACAGTGCTACTAAAGCACCAGTGCACCAAAACTTTAGTACAGTTTTGGAATATTTAGATATTATACTTTCCACCTTCTGCAGTGTTAGACTTAAATCTGCTCTGTGCTCATCAGGCCCGACCACTATGATGTCTGAAGGCACCAAGAACATTGTAGAAGCCATGAAGGCTCGTGGGATCCGTAAAGTGATTGGCTGCATGTCAGGTACAACACACTGCTATGAAATCGGTAACAGAGGAAGAGGGGTAATTAAAGTCTGTGTTATGTGACTGAACTGGGTAAACAACATTCCTTGAAACACGTTTTCTTTAGTCTTGTCCAAGCCTTTGTCGACTTCAGATGCTAAATATATTTGTTGGTCTTTGGGTTTTTGTGTTTGTGTTACTTTGACCCTCATCGCTGTCCTCTCCTTCACTCTCCCTTCACTACCTTAATTGCATCCTTTTCTCCACCTCACAACTCATCCTATACACATTTTCCCTCTACTTCTTTCCTCCTCCCTCCCAGCCTTCCTGCTATGGGATCGCTCCAAAGTCCCGCCCCGTTTGGTTCCTGTGACCGAGGACCACGACAGGATGTACACTGTGCTCAAAACATCAGGGCTGGACTATGTGGCCGTCATGCCTCCTCATATTGCTGGTCAGTAGGGAGTCGAAACTAAGAGCTTTGTTCCAAATAAGAGTGAATTTTCAGAAATTATTACTACCATAGAAGTTCTACAGCTAGCCACCTGATAAAAGTTAATGTGGAAGTAATAGACTCCCAGTTGTACTTTTATATAAAATACCCAGACTTTTGTTATCGAAAATTTTAATTTAAAAATTATTGCAAGGTTCGCCTTTTAATTCCCAACTTTTCAATAAATGTGTCAGGTGTCGTATGGCCAAAAACAACAAGTCCCATGTGTGCAAAAAGTGCCCACACACTAACAAGACGATCAAGAGACTCTCAAGATGCCAAAAAAATAATGTTTTAATTTGGAAAAACAGTGAGCTACGTATGTTTCTGCATCACATCTTTGGCTGGTTGTTTTTTTTTAATAACCACAGAGTATTAAATATGTTTTCTTACACTGTGAGTTTCTGTGTGTTTCACCATCCAGGCGACCTTCCTCTGACAGAGCATTACATGGTGACGGAGAACATGCTAAAAGGAAGAGCCATCTCTAAACACGACCTGGGACATTTCTTCGTCAAGTGTTTGTCCACCTCAGAGTGGGACAGCAAGACGGTTGGAGTGTGCGGAGAGTACAAATAATCCTGAATGACACACTGCTGAGGCCTTTCAGATGGTGATGGGTGTAAATCTCTTCCTGTCACTGATTGCTGTTGTTTATTCCCATCAAAATACACATAACAAAATACAAGGTGTTCCATTTGATAAACCACTAATGCTCTCCTATTTTCACTTCCATGTTTATGATTAAGGAGCTTTCGCTTGCACTGCTTGTTTTTTTTTTTTACTAACTTCTGTTTTGTGATCAATTGTGATACAGTGTTGGAACACTGGAGATATTTTAAATCAAATGCCAAACCTGTACTGCCACTTCAGCTGTAGCTGTTTGCGTTTCTTTACATCAGTTTTGTCTGTTTACATTAACAACTTTATGATGAATTTATTTCCCATCATCAAACATTTTCTTATGTGATGCTTAATGTTACTGTTCTGATTTACGGAAGGCCATTTTTTATTTGCTGTTGAAAATAAAAGACTTGTACAAAAGGTTGTGCTCTTATGACTGAGCTGCAGGCTATTTGTTGCTAGGCTCACACAACAAGTTCTATAGTATTTTTCCAAACTGCCATTTACATTACATGTATGATTTACAAAAGAAAAAGAGGAAAAAGTCTAATAGAGTAGGCATAGGGTGAATAGTCTGATATTTTACTCAAATACATGTGGTAATGCAACTAAGTAAAGGATGAGTATGCCTTTCATCACTGCTCAGCAGCCGTCTACTGACTGATAGTCTGCAAAGTGCTCGCCGTACTTTAGTTTTATCACATTTGTCCAGATTGTCATAAATCTGGCCTTTCCTGCCATTGCTTAAACTGAGCAAAGTACTATGGTATATGTGGTAGAATGGCTTTTCACATAAACTTAATGAATACAGGTTTTTCTGTTGCTGCATACTGATGTCGGTTAGTACTGTTATGGGTATTGAACTATGTTGTGGGTAATGCAGTAGCTATAATTAAATGTGACTCTTTGTTCCAATTCAATGTATTTGTCCTATTTTGCTATGAAACTAAATGGGAAACCATCTGTCTGACCTGCAGTATCGTACAGTTCACCTCAGCCTGTCCCTCTCAGTCAGATGAGTGACATGTAGATAGCTGTTTCTCATGCCCTCTGACAAAAAAAATACGTTGACAGAGCCAAGGAAAACCAGTACAACACCGGACATTTAATTTCTGCTCTCAAAAATAAAAGCTGGACACAGACGCAGTCAGGTCTGCTGCAGTGTTTTATATCCTGTTTAGTTACTACATGTTCCTACCCCGTGTTATTGCTGAGTACAACACCCAAACACAGCAATCTTAGTCATGGGCCCCACGTGTTAGTGAAAGCTTGAAAATACAGAATTAAATATAATGGGTAGGGGGTAGCCTACTATCCTACATCAGTAGATCAGTGTGAAACGTTATATAGATAAGACGGTTTTAAAATAACCAGATTAATACATAAATAAGTGAGCGGGAAGATGAGCACAGGTTTATCTCTGCTAAAAAAAAATCTAGCCTATACTCATCCTTACAAATCAAAATGATATTATACTTTATTATAACATTTCATGAGCGACTACAGGAAGTAGTTTTATAGGCTATTTTGTTTCTCTGCCGTCCCATCCAGCGCTCAGCCCGAGGAGGAGCTAAACCAGTTTTTGAAAGGTTGTCTCGCTGGTTGTTCTTGTTGAGAAGTCGTAGACGAATTTAGGTCGGAACAGTAAACTTTGACATGTTTTAGGCCGCATTACAAGTTGTGTCTGCTGACAGGTTCCGACTGCTGTTCTCAGGTAAAAGACTGGTTGCAATAAGACCGCACATTTTATTAAATCGAAAAGCTACTTTTCCTGTGGACGTGTACACTTTTTTTGTCTTTTGCTCAGTCGATACTGTAGGCTATTTAGATCGTGGGTGAAATGTGTAGGCTACTTTTATACATCTCTCGGACTGTTTTGATTTACTGACCAGTTCAGTGGTCAAATCTCCTCGGAAGTTTAGTAGCCTATTTTTTTACAGTAACTTATAATAACAAACATAAGAAGACTGAAAATCTAATTTGATATTGCTTGTGTCAGTGTTTTAGACACACATGGTCGTACTTTGTATGCAGAGCCATAAAGGGGATGGGAATACCTTTTTTGTCGGTGATGTAATCATATAGGAATTAGTGCTGTCTAAATCACAATAACGAGCAGCAAACAATCAGAGCGGGAGTGAATTCACAGGTCTACATATGATGCATTGCGATTTCATCATAATATGTGGCATGTTAATAGTTTAATGTTTATTTAACGCTGATTTTGTGATGTGAAATTACTCTGTTGGAATGTAACGTGTATAGACTGCATTACCCATAATGCCTCTGGCTAGACTAGCCCCCAACTGTAAACTTTGCCGTGAAACTCAAATCACAGGCGGGAGCGGGCTGAGTTAGACGGTTAGTGACGTGAAGCTCCAGCGTTTTGAGTTTTAGTCGGAATTAATTGTTTTAAAATCCTTTTTTAAACAGCAGACCTTTTTCTGCGTCACTTAAGCAAGACGTAAATCAGTTTTGCGGTCGAAAAGAAGGCAGAATAACGAAACAACGGTATCGCAGAGACGGGAAGTGATTCAACAGGTTTGTTTAAAGACGGCTTAACGTACTTCCAAACTTGTTAAAGATAACGTGCTAGTGTTACGTTATTAGTTTTCGTCTGGTTAATCAAAATATTCCGAGTTGGTTTAAGTTAATTTACGTTAGTTACTTAATGACCTTGGTTGAGAAAGTTTGATTTCCCTCCTACGCAACGAGACTTAACGTTACAACCCCAGCCCATATTTAACGTTATAGCTAGATGATGTGGTTAATGTAGTTCTTTTAATTTAAGCTAACTGCTTTTGCTAAAGAAATACCTATTTGCAAATCTTTGTAAATTGTAAGACAAATCAGTAAATCATTTCAACTTACAAGAGATTTAACAATAATTTAGTCCCAGTTAAGTGTTGGATCAGGCCTTTCCTTATTTTTACCTTATACATTTAACCTCAAGCCATTTGTTATTCATATATTACTACAAGGGGTTTACATTTAAAATTTTACTTTTCTGCCTTAATATACTGTACAATATCAGCCTATGACTGGCATTGGAAAGTAATGTCTTAAATTTAATTAGAAAAACAACGTTAAAAACGAATGAATGAAAACAAAATCAAATAGGTTCTTGTAATCCTTAAGACCCATTACTCCTTATTTTCCACTAAACAAAATGTTGCATTATTTCAGCACTATTTATTCAGCTGTATGTGTTGTCATATCAGTGTTTTGATATTATTCTTTTCTTCTGCAGTTTGAGAGTTGTTAAATTACAAAAATCTCTCTCTTTTACTACAGACAAGCCCGAGTAACTTGTCATATACATAATGTTTGCAGCATATGATTTTTAGCTGCAATACAAGTCAACTTAACATTTTGTTCTTGTCTTGGCAGTTTAAAGATGATCATGAAGGGGCAGAAGCGTAAACTCTCACCAGAGGACATGGAGGTTTCAGACAGGAGCAGCCCCACCTGGGAGACCCAGCGGCAGTTTGTGTTCTCAGTTTCCTTGAGCAAGTACCAGCGTGGCCAGGAGCTACCTGAACCCAGTCTACGGCGGTCTGTTCTGATAGCTAACACACTGCGACAGATCAACTACGAGTCTTGCAGGGCACCGTCTGTAGACAGGGAAGCCTCACATTCTCCTTGTAGCTCTTCATCTGTGCTCCAGGCAAAAGAGCGGGATAATATTTTCACCGGAGTTACTGCATCAAAACATCACTCTGCAGTAACAGTTGCTAATATCCAATCGGCTCTTGGAGGCAGTTCACAGGTTTTGTCAACTTCTCCTGTTAGTAGGTCTCCAGCAAGCTGCCATACCAGTGTTTCAGATGTTGTTCTTGGTGTAGAAGATGAAGACTGGGGATTGATGTCCACCGATCCTGATTTCTCGCTTTCAGCTGCCATTTCCTCCATTCTGACTGCACTGGATTCTACCATTGATGGGAGCCCTCAGGCAGTTCCACGGACACCTCTTAGGTCCTTGGAGAACCTGGTGGAGCCCTCTGAGGGGGGTGTGGTATACATACAACAGGAAGTCATGGGTTTCGGGGGCAGCTGGGAGCAGAAGGATGCATGCAGGACACGGGAGAGCAGCATGGAAGTGATGAGGTCCAGCTTCCTCAGTGATCTTGCTGTGGATGAACTCTTCCAGGATATAGACATGTCCCTGCTGGAGAGGGACATGGGAGTGCTCGGGCTTAGAGGCAGCGCAGGTGGATACCCAGCTGGGGATAACCTCCTTCGCTACCTGCCACCTGTATTTCCCTCCTCTTCCTCCTCATACCCCTTCTCCATCTCTCTCAATCAGAATTTGAAGTGCCTCCCTTCTTTCTCCTCATTCAGCCCGTTGTCATCCTCAGTGTCTTCTTCACCTCCCCTCTCTTTGCCACCATCCTCCCCCATCTCTGGTCAGACTCATGTGAGAGAAGGACTTGAGCTGGAGCACCTGATGGAGATCCTGGTGGAGTCCTGAAAACCTCCTCGTCATCGCACTGTAAGAGGACCACTTCAGGAAGAAGTAACCTGAAGACAAATCACTAAGTGGACAAAGAAATTGAATTGTTAAGGCAAAGGGCTGGACTGTCAAAAAAGTTGAATATTCACCATGTTGTTTTTTTTTTTATATTGCTCAAAAATGTTATTATTATGGGTTTTAGTAAGTAGAAAGAATGTTCTAAAAATGTAGAACTGGTTGATGTCTAAGACAGAATGCTACAGAATGCTTGTTAGTCCACGTGTGGGCTAACAAGAGGAATAGCTGTGTTTCTGGCAAAAACTAAGTCAGACTGTGAACTGTGTAGGTAGTAAGCCAGAGAAGGCTCTTTTTACTAACCGAGTCAGTGCATAATGAGCTGCTGAAAAGCATTTTGTTAACAGTTTTTAGTGTGACTCAGCTAATTGGAACTAACAAAAAGAAGTACCTGAGCAGAGATCAGGCCTTATTTAGCAATCGAGAAGTTGCCCAACACTTTGTGAAATGTATCACAGCTTGAAGTAACCCTGCACTCACGTTGAACATCTCGATTATCTGGAGTAGGAAAAAGCAGAAGGTGAACTGAACATTTGGCAACACATGGGTCAAATCTATAAGACAAGTGTTAAATTTGTGAATTCTGGGAAATTGTGACTAGGAAGGAGAGCAACTCAAACACTAAATTTACAGGTTGGATCTTCCATGAAGAAATTCTTTAATACTGTATTTTTCAGTGAGGAGGGGCACGATGTCAGTTGCCGACAGATCAGGTCAGGGTTTCAAGCAGTAGGAGCACCCAGGAAAAGTCGAGTCAAGAATCTTTGTCATTATGCATAGCACAGTGAAATGTCTTCCAGCAGCTTTCACCTTAAGACACATTAACAACAGTATATTAGCAGCAGAATAATATAGTCACATTCTAAAGTGCAGCTCAGTGCAAATGTGCTTTTTAGCCAGAAGAAAAAATCCACAATATCCAGTATTTTGTTCTGTTAAAACTTTATTTTTTTATTTCAAGAGTGAATAATTGTCATCTGGAAGTTGTCCTTCTTTCATTAACCAGTGATTAGAGGTACAGTACAGTTATATTTCATGAATAAAGCCACTTCATGCTGAATATTTCTCAGTGGGGGGGGGAAGCACAGCTCCTGATACCTCTCAACCATCTGAAGGCTGAAAAGAGTGAAACTAAAAGCTGTTTCCTGTCAGAGACAAAGTTTGAGTGCAGCTCAGGAAACACACAGTGACATGTGCTTTTTATGTAGCAGCTACATGCACAGTGTAGCTCAGTATTTCAGGTCATTTGATAGCATTTTAATTGAAATAACCTTTACAGTACTGTGATTGTATATGAAGCACCCTAGTGAATTTGAATGTGACAGTATAGAAACAGTAGTTGTCACAATTGCTCCACGGCAGCATCTGTTGTGCTCTAATCACGCTATTGCCTTTCCCACTGAACAGTTGTGCTCCTCAGTAGGTCAGTTCTGTTTGTTTCAATAATGTTCTTCACCTTTGCTTGATTTAAAATGAAGTATTGCACTTTTGTTAATATGCATTTCTGAGTTTCAGTCACAGAGCTTGTGGTGTGTGTTTAAAAGTGAAATGTAGGACGTGTGTTTTAGCTGTAAACGAAGCAGCTGGACTGAGCGTTTGAGTCAGCACCGCAGAAATGCATGACAGGAGAAATGCTGACATAAATTAAGAGATGCACATGATGCCTGTTTGTCAGGGTTTGTACATTTATATCCTGTTTATGGATCAAGGTTCCTTTCTGAATACCTGGGCTGCAGTAACAAACTATTTATAAAGAGCATATTTTGTTAACAAGATGAGTAATTTAATGTCATACAGCATTTGACAATTCACTAATGATATATTAATATTCTGTCATGGCAGTTATTTTATTTACTTGTGTTTTCTCCACATATATTTTAACAGTTATGTTTATACAGAATGCCCAGATAGTGTATTTAGACTTTTTTTTTTTTTTAAAGAAGGCAAATGTCTGTTTACCTGTATTTTTAATAAAATGTGAAAAGCTAATAATGGCCTATTTTCAGTTAAAGTACTGGTCTGTGGTAACATAAACATGGAGGAGAGCAACAACAGTGACGGGGTCAGTGGAGAGACCAGGACATTTCATGTGCTGGACATTTATGGAGAAGCTTCTGATCAGGCCAACCTGGAACATCGCAACCGAGCAGTTTTTCAGGGAATTGTGCAATTTGACTGTCACACGAATTACGTTGTTACTGTTGCGGCACAGGACTCACCTTTCAGTTGAATCTGCACATGTGTGACAGGAGCTCAGCGCTGTTCATGTTGGAACCGGATGCGAAGCATCAACAAAGAGATCAGATCCTATGAAGAGATCGGACTTGAGCATTAAAGCATGTGATGTGAGCAAGTGTAAATGTCTCCAACCAGAACAGTTTCGGTTCCTCCCCCTCAAGGCCACTCTACCACTCTAATAAAAGATAATGTCGGTTATTTGTGCGTTGTCATAGTCACATCTGATTCAGTCATCTAGAAATGTTCACAGTTTAACAAAAAAGACAATCCTGTTATCATACCAGATTGCCCATTGTGACATCACACTAAAAACAAACAAAAGCACCCATTTTGTCTCATGTTGTTTAAATCTAAATGGAACAAGAATGTTCTCAGGAACTTTATTTTAGGCTTTAGAACCACCTGATAACCCGCTTTATTTCTTAAGTGGCTTAACCAGTGCTTACTGGTTGTTATGTAGCTTCCATAAACTCATATACTACAAGTCTGTCAAGTACATTTCACAGTTCTTAATATAAAAAAATCAAAGCTACACATACAAATTTCACTTTTGGACAAGACGAGGAAGACGCCTATGAGAACAAACATGAGGACATAAAACAAGGAAAACTTTTATTTTTTTAAAATTACAACTGTCCAAATTTGAATACACGTTAAACTAATATTACTAAACTACAACAACATACATACAAACAAACAGAGAGAGAGACCTTATTTTTATAAGGTGATCCTAGCCACCTCATTCAGCTGCAATTTTGATGAAACAAAAAGAACCGTTGGGAACATTAAAGTGCATTTCAAATGTTCACTACTGCTGACAGATAAAATCCAGTCACTAAATCAAAGAGATCAGGTCGTGTTTGACAAGCAACATTTGGTTTTCTGTTGAGATTAATCTGCCGTCAGTCACCACAGTGAAACACTTTTAGGGAGGTGTAGTTACATGTTGCACTTCATACATGGAGACACCAGGGGGCAGCACCATTGAGGTTAGCAGTGTTGAGACAAAGAACAAAAATACAGGAAATCTGATCAAATAAAAAAGTGAATGAATGAATGTCCACATATTTCAAATGTTCAGCGTAGATTCATATTTGACCTTTACTTGAGGAAGTTTGTCTTTTCATTGCATTTGTGATAGTTCATGCAGGTAAAAATGTATTAGTGGTGCAAAAGTAAGCAAACATCCTACAAGCCAATTAAACGAGCAGCCTGAGGACTATAAATATGACTGGATGTTTTGGTCAATAGTTTGAAGTGTTTGGTCATGACATGCATCCAAATAAAAACATACGTTTAAAAGGTGGAAGATTTTTGTAAAGTTGAAAGGGTAAGCACCTTCACAAACTGTGTCTGGCACTAAGTTATATAAAAGACAACATCTAGTAGTCCTGAACAAGCAACCCAAACCTGTGGCACAAAAAGCAAGACAAACATTCTGCAAGACAAATGTGAAAACAGAAAACCAAGTATCACCGGTTTTCGGTTCGAGCCTTCAGGTGCAACCCAGCTGAGCCTGCGCAGCAAACATGCTGCACTTACACCTGTTTTGAGGAAAAGGTACATCTGTGGTTTTTGTCCTAGCAGGGTTGCTGTAGTCAAGTTAGGATAGTCCTGTCATATGTGCAGAAAGTGGTGTAATAACCACTCACAAACTGCTCAACTCACAAAAGCTGAATCTCAAAACTCTCATCTCAACTCCTCATGCATATTGTGCTTTCTCTTCTTGTGTTTAAACAGAGAATAGGGTCAACAAAATGAAAAGTTAAGACAAAAATTCAGATTCAGCCCACCAGTCTGGGTTTATCACTGGTTCAAGACTTCAGGATCACCAGAGGTAGAACTTCAGTCTCTGTGCCTGCCCTCAGCTCAGCCTTTGTTGATGCTGTTGTATGACTGCTGTGATCCCGGGTCCAGGGGCCTGTTGGCAGCTTTGTCTGTCAGGTGGGAGGGGTCCTGGTCTTCTTGTTCGTTCTCCACGATGGGGTCCATGTCCTCGTCAGACCCCTCACTGTGTGGCAGCTGGAGAAAGGTGGTCAGGCCGTGCAGGTCGGCCATTCTGTGGAAGACGCGTAGCAGGAGGCACATCGTCATCAGACCGACGAACAGGTAGACTGGAGGGAGGGGCAGAGACAAGGGGTCACTATTCAACAGAGGGAATCCATCATTACTTACAGCTGACTTTTCACTATTTCTGACATTTCTGGTGTGGGGAAAAATGCAAGGAGTAATTCTCCTCAAATGTAAAACAGCTGCACCACCTGGCTGAGGAGGTGATGGTACACCTCCACCTCAAACAGCTAAAGCAAAAAGCACAACTCTAGTCTCTACTTCCATGAGATCATGTAACATTTTCTGCCCTATTTCCAAAATTGGTTCCATTATTCCAATTAATGTCAAATATTTTTCTCCTTTGACACATACAGTATGTATGGGATGGCTGTATGGCTGCAGATAATGTTGGCAACGGAGGGGAATTCAATGAAAAGAAAAGATCAAGGCGGCACAACCAGGTGAGCTGTGGATTCAAAACAAAAGCTTCACCAACTGGAAATATTTCTAATTTCTTTTGCAGGTTTGAAGAAGAACAGGCTACAAAGTCGACGCTGGGAACCATGGGTGTGCCGATTTCCACTGGGTGTGGTGACAGGTACAACAAACTGCACTGTATTTGGCCGTGCCAGTGTGTCGCTGATATAATGACAGCACAGGGAAAGCTGATTAAACTGGAGTGTAAACATGACAATGAACCTTGATCAGCTGAAGAGCAAACAGAGAATCTGCATCAAAGTTTCTTAGGTGCCAGCAGATCCCTGTCCCATTTGAATTCAACCACAAATAGCTATGTATTTAGCCTACTCTATACTGCTTACAGCGCGGCTGGCACGCAAGGTACTTAGTTTCCTGTACCTGATGCTACACTGTTTCAAGTCGACATAAGCAGCCTGTGCTATTTTGTGTAACCGTCCAGAAACGGAGTGACAACCATGCACAGCTGTGTCAAAGTGGCACTGACCTGGTCACGCTGAAGAGCGCAAACTCTGACCACATCCAGCAGTGATCTGGTTCAGCCAAATGTGTTCAGTGAAACAATACTTCTCAGTCCAGTGTTACGGTACTTATCATATGACTTAAACAAAATTATTATGAAATTTTAAATACACACACAATTCCCCACTCGCCCCCCCACTTTGGTAAGGTCAGGTCCTCTACCAGAGCTTAAGGGTCCTGCTCAGTATCTTAGCTGTTCCTAGGACTGCACTCTTCTGGACAGAGATCTCAGATGTTGTTCCTGGGATCTGTTGGAGCCACTCTCCCAGTTTGGGGGTCACAGGCCCCAGTGCTCCTATTACTACAGGGACCATTTGTGCCTTCACCTTCCACATCTTTTCTAGCTCTTCTTTCAGCCCTTGGTATTTCTCAAGCTTCTCGTGTTCCTTCTTCCTGATGTTGCTATCGCTTGGGATTGCTACATCTATCACTACGGCCTTCTTCTTCTGTTTGTCCACCACTACTATGTCCGGTTGGTTGGCCATTACCAGTTTGTCAGT